AAAACAACTAAGTAATTATCTGTATTGAGAACATGATTTTTTAGTTTTGACTTATATTGACGTTATATTGTCAGCAAGAGAAATTGAGGTATAATTCGGAATTAGTTTGTTATATAAATAAGGGCCGCGGTAAGAAATAGAGAATTGAGAATTTTTTTGTCTTTTCCGGGGTACAATAAAGTTACCAGTTGATCTTGTGTTAAATTTGTTGAAATTAGATTGAAAGAAATTTTCTGTTAATCGGTTTGGAACTAATCCTAATTTGTATTTTAGCATGAACAATATATTAGCATAGATATTTTTGGTAAATTTTTAGCACTTTCATTTCATTTAATAGGGATTTAGCGTGGGTCAGTTTGTTCTTATGATGTATTATTCTGGAGGCATGTTTTTGTCGTCGATAAAGGGACATTAACTTTGTCTTGTGTGTGCTTCCCAAGCAATGTTGGCAAATGTGAGATAACTATGTATAAAGGAAAAATAAAGAAGTTTTAGGTTTTTTTGCGATAAAAATGGTCTAGCTTTATAAAGTATACTAATACTTTTAGATATTTTAGTGTTGATGCCATTTATATGGGCTGTCCATGAAACATTTTCGTCAATAATCACACCAAGAAATTTAATTGTTTGGGTTCTTTCAATTTTTTGTGTTCGATACTTAGTGAGGGTAGAATTGATGGTAGTTTATTTTTCTGTTTCTTTGAGTGAAATAAAATAAATTTAGTTTTTTGGGCGTTTAATGATAACATGTTAGAACTGAACCATGTTTTAAGTTTTTGAAGTTCAATGTTGACTTTATCAAAAAGGTCATTGATAGAGGTAGACGAGTAAAACAGATTAGTATCATCTGCAAACATTATACAATCGAGATTTGTAGAGACTTTAGAGAGATTGTTAATGTAGATAAGAAATAATAAAGGTGCAAGAATAGAACCCTGGGGGACACCACATTTTATTTTTAATAACTTTGTATTAGTGATACCGTCTATTATAACACATTGTTGTCTGTTATTTAAATAATTAGTGAACCATATAATAGTTTGGTTTTTTATACCGTACTTTCTCATGTTGTCGAGCAGAATTTTATGGTTGACAGTATCGAAAGCTTTTGTAAGATCAATAAAAACTCCCAATACAAATTTTCCTTTATCAAAAGTTGATCTAATTTTGTCCATTAGGTCTAAGGTTGCATGCTCCGTAGAATGATTTGTTTGAAAGCCGTATTGACATTCATTTAAGATTTTATTGACTGTTAAATATTTATAAAGTCGATTGTACATTATTCTTTCCAGGAGTTTGGAAAACACTGGAAGAATTGAGATAGGTCTATAATTGGTTAGCAAGGCCGTGTCTCCAGTTTTAAATATAAGTAAAATCTTTGCAATTTTTAATTTGTCTGGAACAACTCCAGTTATAATTGATGACTTGAAAACCTCTAAAAGAGGATCTTTTAAAATGTATAAAACATCATATACTGCATTGCTAGAAATGTTGTCGATGCCCGGAGCTTTGTTTTTTCTAATTGATTTTGTTGCTTCTTCAAATTCCTCAGATTTTAAGTCACTCTCAGTAAATGAACTAGTATGGTCAGTAAGATAGTTATTAAATGAATTGTTCGAGTTGTTTATTTTGGATGCCAGTTTAGGACTGATATTTACAAAAAATTTATTAAATTTATCGGAAATAGTTTTTTTATCTGTATACTCCCATACATCTTCCTCAATTCTGGAGGGTAATATTTCGGCCTTAGTTTTGGTTTTTCCAATAACTTCGTTCATTTTAAAATTTTTCTAACATTTGCCCTTAAAATAATTAACTTAAGGTAGCAGATCCCCTTAAAATAAAGTTGCTTAAACTATTGTTATTAAATACCAATTGCAATTAGGTTTTATTTGATATCAATTAAACTTTTTTTTTTAATTAAAAATTTTGAAAAAAAAAAAGTAATTAAGGACTAATTAGACAATTAAGCAGCCATTTTAAAAAATTTTCAAACGCGATTATACAAGTTTTACAAATGCTGTGGACTTCAAATTTTCAGGATATGTTAGTAGTACTATTAACTAGGGTTTCTACCACTTTTGTGTAAAAATGATAAATTCTTTAAAAGATAATCAATTTTTTCAAAAATTATTAAAATGAAGTACACAAAAAAAAAAAAAAATTTTACTTAAAATGAAAATTGAACTTTCATTGAGGTACAAACCCTCGACAACATAACAAGGAACATTTGCTGAAAATTTCAAATCAAAATCTATAGTAGAAGTTGAGAAAACGCGTTTTATGTGTCGAAAAATACTTAAAAAATAAAACACAAGAAAAATGCTCCTAAAGATTTTGTAATTAAAAAATAATAAATTTTTTATCATTCTAAAAACCACCAGCAGAATATGATGCTCTTTCTTCATTTTCTTTATCTATGAATCCTTTTTTCATAGCTCTTAGTAACTTTCTTTTGCTAATACCTGCTGTTGAAGTCTTTTTTATCATATAAACTATTCGAGTCTTGTTTTTTTAAATGGTCCCTATGTCCATAAATCGACCGGTCTTTATCTGTAGTTTTTGAAAAACTTTATATATCCCACTAGCTCCATCATTAAACTCTAAAACAGCAGATGCTACAGCTATTTCAAGAATATTTCGACTTACATAAACATCTTTAGGACATTTTTTTAAAATGAAATTGTTAATTGCTTCATTATTATTTTGTTTCTGTCCATGCAAACATTTAGATAATAATTCATCTCTACTCAAGTCTTGAAAGATGGGTTTTAAAATTTCATTTATTGCTAATGGAATATTTAATTTAGATTTGTAAGTTGATTTACCTGTTAGTTTATTTGACTGCCACATGCACCAGCTATTTACATTTCGAGGACAACATTTATGTCGTCCAGTTTCACCAAGAATTTCTGAGTTATGGAAAAGTGTTGCCCAAATACCCTTTTTTATTCCATAAATGCTGTTAAGAATTTGCCTTATGGCAGTACCATAATAATTCTGCAAAGTATTTATAGCTTTATCACATTTTTGATTATTTGTTGATATCAAAGTAACAACACCATTTATGGATGTGTGACCTCTTTTTTGCCATGTTCAATCAACAGAAACATGGCAATCAACAATACTTGTATTATCACTGATGGCATCCATCAAAACAATATCATGTGTCTCTTTTTCAGCATTTGACATAGAAGTATTAGCTGCTTCGACATAAATACTGTGAAGTAATTTTGTTATTTTACCAAAGTTTTTTTTAGTCATCCGTCTTGGCATATTCATGCAAAGATTAAATGATACTATCCAATTTCTCTAAAAGCAACAGCAACTTGTGTATTAACTTCTTTTAATTATTCTTTTAATTTTAATTTCTTTAAAATTAATTTTTTAATTATTGCTGAAGTTTTAAATGTGTCTATAATCTTATCACAGCTTTCACAAAAAATTTCAAGTTGTAAACAAAATCCCATTTTTTCACAATGTTATCATGCAAAGTAATTTTATTTCCACATTCAGAACAAAAAATATACTTACTAAATATTCTTTTTAATATAGAAAAGTTCATAATAAAGTTATAACTGTTCTTGTAATCTTTATTGTTACACTCAATATTTTGAGTTGTTTTCGTTTTCGAAAATAACTTTTTTGCACTTGAACAACTTGCAATTGGCGATGATGGTAAACTATTTTTTTGTTTATCATTGCATGTGTACTGATTTTCTTTAAACTTGTATTTACGTTTTCTAATTGTACTGTGGGTCATTTTTTTGTTTAAAAGTTGCAAACAAATTTGAAGTAAAAGTGGCTTTTAGTAGAAGCTTTCAAATATAGTCCAAGTTGTGATTCTAATTTGTAATGTTCAAGCTGTGGAGTTTATCCTAAAGTTGTTTTGAGCACTGGTACAAACATTAAGCAAACAAGATTCTTTTAAGACTGAAGTTTCCTCCAAAAAGCTGGCTAGAAAGTTAAAAAACCAATAATCAAACCCATTGCTATGGCGGTAACTAGGGAAGCCTGAAAAACTATGGTCAACTAAAACATAAATATTTAAAAAACTAAATTGAATTATAAGAAACTGTTTTCATTCTAATAATCTCCGTTAAATTTTGAATAAAAATCAAGTAAAAAAAAAATTTGAATTTTTTTTGATTTTTAAGGGGATCTGCTACCTTAAAAATTTAAAACTAAAAAAAAGAAAAAAACTTATGGCAAGTTTTGAAGCAATTCTGCCCAACTGTGCGCCACCAACAAACACTGCCTACATACTTCAGAGTATTACCTGAAGTATTACCCAGCAGTGCCCACAAACAGGTAATGGATTTGAATTACGCTACCTATCTCAAAATTACGTGAAATGACTGTTTTTTGAGAAAGTAAATAACTTAAATTTTACTTTTAAGTAAAGTATAAAATTTCAAAGAAAAAATTTACTTTTATTTGCAATCGTAAATAGCGATAGCTGTTTTTGCTAATTAGTTACTTTAGTTTACACATCAAAGAAATTTGTTGCTATGATGTAGTTTTATTTTACTTTGTAAACTGTTAGGTTTTTTAAATATATTTACGTAAGTTTACTTCGTAAATAACTTTTTTTACATATAAAAAGTAAATTACATTCCGATGTAATTTTTTTTATAGTTATAACCAAAATTACTTTACACGACTTAATATTAAAAATAAGTTACATTTACAAGTCTAAGTAAAAATGCTTTTACTTGTAAAAGTAAATTACTTTTTCAAGTAACAGTTACTTATTTAAAAAACTAAACTTAATATAATATTTGTAAAAAAAAACGTTATATAATATTTGTAAAAAAAAAACAAATTACATTTAAATGTAAGTAAATTATATATTTTTATGAGTTATATTTTTATGAGTCGCGTTTTTAAATCAAAATAAGTAAAACTGCCATCCCTAGTGATAATCTATGCTAATTTATGCGAACTTTAGAAAATTAGAGTTAATAAAAGGAAATTAAGGCAAAAATTAAAAGGCAAAGTAATAGTTATGGCATTGTATTTTGCGTATTTACAACAAAATTTGTAATACAATCCGGATATTTTATAAAACAATTAAAAAAACTTGTTCAACCTTTGAAAAAACAACCACCATATTTGGTATAAACTATACCACGTACTCGAACTGTAGATTTGGTAGGTTAGCGCAAAAATAAAAAACACTTGCTTATTTTGGCAGCGTCCGATGACGCTGTTTATGACGCCTATCATTTGATGAAGGTGCGGCACCAAATGAAAATAGTCCACTTGTTCCGTTTAAAAACAAATTTTTTGAAATATCAGAGTTTTGTGCATTATCAGTACTGGTAAAATTAAACGAAGGCATCTGTGCGGAAGTAAAGTTAAAGGAGGGTACGTTCGAAGAACTGAAGTCAAATGGTTTAGTTGGTACTGCTTTTGGCAAAAACGAAGGTTCAGAATTTTCACTTAAAAAAGATGGCTTAGAACCTGTTAAGAAATTAATAGAAGGGATAGTAGAAAAACTTGATGATGCTGAATTACCGAAGCAAAACCCGGCATTGTTTAGATTAGTACTTACAGAAGATCCAAAAACAATAGGTGTGGACCCAAACAACGTCGAACTAGGCTTAGAAACCAAAACAGAGTTTAATGACAACGGCTCTTCAGTGGTTTTTACAAAATTAAACGTCGGAGCATTAGTAACGGAGCTTGTAGTACCAAATACCGAAGGTTGACTAAAAAAAGATGGCTGATATATATTCGTTGAAACTCCTGAAGCAATAGAACTAGATTCGGATTGTAATTTTTTGGAAAATAAATTAGTTTCACATACAGTATTTTCAGAAGACTTTGCATCAATAGGGTTTGCTGAAGTCTTACCCCATTGAAAGGAAGTCGCTGGTTTTTCGCTTATTTTACCAAACGAAAAAAGCGGTGTAGTAATAGATTGTGAAGACTCGCCTGATTTACTTTGATTATTTGCTGCGTTAAATGCCAATGTTGGTACCGAATTTAGAGTGGCGTTGGAATTCGTCGTAGATGAAAAGGATGGAAAACTGTTTTGAGAAAAAGAATTATTCGGTTTCCCAAATGTAAAAATACTTGTTTCAGGAAATGATTTAGCAAGAGTTTCGGGTAGTGATTTAACATTGCTAGAAATGTTTGCACTTTCAGAAACCTTTGCGAAACTATCAGTTTTGTTTGAAGTCATTGATAAAGATGGATCTAGGTTACTATTTTGAGTAGAAATAATGGGTTTTCCAAATGTGAAAATACTTGATTCAGGGAGCGATTTAGCAAATAATGGAACATTTCCGGAAAAAATTTTATTTTCAGAATCTTTGAGGAGGCTGCCTGCTACATTTGTTGATGATAATAAAACTGGAACATCATTTGAAACTGTAGAACAATTAGGTTTTCCAAATGTAAAAATACTTGATTCTGGCAAAGATTTAGCATGAGTGATAAAATTGCTAGTACTTTCAGAAACTTTTACAATATTATCAGCATTAGTCTCAGTTTTGAAAAATGAAATTTTACTATCATTTTGAGCGGTTGAATTACTAGGTTTACCAAATGTGAAAATACTTGATTCAGGTAAGGATTTAGCAAATGTAAAAACATTGTTAGATAAAGCTGCATTTTCAGAAACATTTGCAAAAACACTTTTGCTTGTAGTTGATAAAAAATAGGGAATTTTAATATTGCTTTGAGTATCAGAATGATTGGACTTGCCAAATGTAAAAATACTTGAACTAGGAAAGGAATTAGGAAGTGACGAGTTAGTTCTTGTATTTTGCATATCTGATTTAAATTTATCAACTGATGCAATTGATTTTGGATTAGGAGTTTCACATGCAACACATTTTTCTGAACTAGATTTGTTGTTTATCAAGCATGTAGAACAGTCCCATGAACTTTCTGATTTTAAAAACTTTAAAGATAAAGGGTTTGTTTGGGGAACCTGTGAATTACTGGTGGGAGCTTTAAAATTTTCGTTTATAATTGTTACCTTAGTATTTTCAGCAGCAGAATGTTCATTAGCAACACTTTTTGACTTAAGAGTTTCACAAGCAACACATTTATCGGAATTGGATTTGTTATTTATTAAGCAAGTGGAACAATCCCATGAATTTTCTGATTTTAAAAACTTTGAAGATAAATGCTTTATTTGAGAAATCTGTAGAAAACTGCTAGAAACTGAAGGAGCTTTAGAATTATCACTTTCTATTGGTAACTTTGCCTTTTCATTTTGACAAGCTGCACATTTAACAGAGTCTGGTTTATTATTAACAAGGCAAACACTACATTCCCATGAACCTGGTAATTTAAATGTCTTAAATATAAAATCTCCTTTGACTTTATCTTTTTCATTATTTATAAAAATAGGTTGAGAAACTTCATTTTGTGATTGCTTTTTAATAGGTATGGGTTCACTAAATGTATAACATTGCATTTTTGGGTCTTCACTATGATTTCTAACAGCTAAAACACTTGGTTCAGAAAAATAAAACACATCTTTGACAGCTATTTCTTTACTTTCATTTGAAATAAAAGGTTTAGGCAAAATTTCTACAGAGGCAGACTGAAATGATGATTTGAACGTAGTTATAGAGGGCAAAGAAAATGATACATTAGGTATACTCGGTAGAGTGTTTATAATTTCTTCAGTTTTGGGAACAGAATAATGACTACTAGTATGCTCTCTTCTTAATTTACCAGTTTTTTTAGGTAAAAAATTATCTGTTTTGGTTGTGATGATGTCAGAATTTTGCTTAGAATCAATTGGTATTAATTTTTCTGAAGCAGATAAATCTGATTTAGCAAAAGTAAAACTCTCTATAGATTTTAATGGCTTTACAAACTGTTGCTGATCAGTATTTGTATTGTTGGTAGATAAAATGAATCCTTTTTGAGACGGTTTGACAGTATCCAAGGTGCTTACAGGAGGTTTTATAATATTGGGATCTTTGTTTTTAGATAAATCGCGCAATTTTTGACTAAATGTTAAAGGAGATATAAGATGTTGCATAGAAGGCAACTTTCGTGAATCTTTAACTGGTGAAGACATATTGTCTAAAGTACTAAGTATTTTTTTAGCTGTTGCACTTGTAACTGCATTCCTCTTTGCATATGGAAGTGATTTAGCTTTCATTTGAGTAAGTGTGGTACATGCTTGGTTAGAAACAGGAGATATTCTTTGTCTCTTAATTGAATCTTGTCTGTATGTAGAAGAACCACCAAACTTTGTTTGTCCGCTATAAAACAGTGACTTGTTCACAGCTGACAAATCCAATGTTGTGTTCATTGTAGTATTAAAATTTTGTGCGCTGAGGTTAGGAGAAATAAAAGCTGAAACATTAAAAGCAGGCTTTAGAACAAAAGGCGATTTCTGTTTAACTGAGTTTGAATGTGATACTTCAATAACCTTTTCATCGTTTGAAAACGACTGCTTGCTTGGATAAAACTGTACAGAATCAAAGCTATTATCTAAAAATGAAGGATGATTTAAAGTATTATCAGAATTACCAACTTTATCATAGAACCCTAATGATGGAGGCTTCACAGCAGTGGATTGTACGATTGAGTTGCTATTTTGAGTACCTTCATAGGATAATGACTTGATTTTATGATTTTCATTTGATTTAATGATTTGAGGTTGGCTGCTTTGAGCATTATTTTCGTCACTTTCATCACTTTCATCATTTTCTGAAAAACCACTGTTTTCTTCCTGAATCAAACAAAAAGAAATTTTACAGAATTATTATTTTAAAAAATTTACATTAAACAAAATTACAACAAAACTTCTAAATTTAACTAAAATTACAGAAAAAGATTTTAAAAAATCTGAAAAAAAATATACAGGAAATATAAAGGAAAATATACAGGAAAAAAAATATACAGGAAATAGAACAACACTATTACAATTGAAAAACAAAGACTTATAAAGATTTTAAAATGATTTCCTACAATGAGCAATAGACAGTTGTTAGCTTAATTTTTTTTTTTTTTTTTTTTTTTGCATAATTTTCAAAAAGTCTTTGAAAAATAGTTGGGGGTCTGAGAATGGTTTAGATTTTTGATATTTGAGTTTTTTATTTATTAAATATAAAAGAAATACAATCTATTTAGAAAAATATATATTACCTTAAAAAAACAATTAAAACTCAAAATTCATTAAATTATAAAATTATATTAATTTTTTAGGGTTATTTTTGTTTACTTTAAAAGCAGCATATTGGTCATTTTCAACCTAAATTACCAAAAAAAAAACAAAAAAAAACATTTCTTACAAACATTTTTAAACATTAGTTTCTTTTTTAAGTGATAATTTATTTTGAGATTATAGTTTTCTACTTAAGATTGTGGTACTTTATAGACATATTTTAGTTTACTAAAGCTATATTTTAGCTGTCTGCAAACAACTAATACTATTTATTCAAAATATGTATTTATCTAACAAAACTAAGTTGATAAACATATATCAATATAGTTTTAAACATTGCTAGCAGTATTAAAAGCATTGCATGTACAAGTTTGGTTGTTGAAAAACATGTCTTGACAATGAAAACTCAATGCAAACAAAAGACAAGACATGCAATCCAAAACATATTTTAAATTTGCAAACATTTAACCCTGTGTGTAAATTTAAAACCTAACAATTGATAAATAAGTCTCTTGTGTAATTAGTTAAAAAAAAACACAAAAAAGTAATATAATTCTTAAATAAGTAATATAAATCTAAAAAATAAAAAAATATTCTCAAAAGCAATAAATTAATCTAACAATAAGTAAAATAAACCACCAAATAAGTAATATAAATCTCATTATAAATTGTAATACAATTAACATACACAACAGAACCACTAAGCCAACAAAGAATCAGAACAAGTAACAACATTCAAAATAAGAATAGTTACTAAAAAATTTTTTTTTTGCAGCAACATACATTTTTGTCTTTTTTCCACCAAGATGATATCCAATTTGGAACAATGTAATTTGAAACCCGTCCTAATATACCCTAAACAAAAGAGTAAATAAATTATTTTTCAAAATTTATTTTATTGATAATAAAATATATTTCATAAAATTATTTTTGCCTTTAATAAATTGCAATAAAAAAAAAATTACATAGTCAGGACCTACATTCTAGGAAAAAAATCTGGGCGGAGGTACCCCCTTTCATAAACTCCATTTATTTAAAAATATATGGAGTTTATGAAGACACAAAAAGTTCGAAAATAAAGTAAGAAAAGGGGTAGCTTTATCGCAAGTTTTTGGAGGAAAAAATAAAATTCAAAGCTCATTTACCTTACAAACACACACACATACATAGATCTACTCCTGATTATTATAGTAATAACTTATTAATGCAAAACATGCATGTGCTAGCAAAACACTTAAGAATCACTGCTAATGGTTGTTCTGCTTTACAATTTTTACAAGGTAAGAAACTTTAAAAAACAGTGTGTCTAATTAAAAATTTGATATTTTCATGCATGTCACGACAACTTGCTATAAGGCATTTGTTAATACATGGCTCCAAGCAAATGCAATTAATATTTATGCCAGTTGGCTATGCAATCTCGATGCAAAAACCAAAAAGTAACAAAAAAGTTATAACCCTAATGCACACTAGATAGATATTTTAAAGTTCATGATTAGGAAGGGATCTTCAATAAAGTATGTATCCAGGTATGGAAAGAGGGAAGTCATCGAAAGTATACAGATGCATACAAGGACAGTTCTACATAAGTTGTTTTATGGCATACACATTTTATAGATGCACCCGAATTACATAAAATCAAAGAAAACTTTTCTTTAAAACCTAAATCTTTTGAAACGTCTTGTTTAAGTTACGTGAAACGCTTTTTGATAAAGTAAAAAATTACTTCTTATGATTGTTTAATAAATTAACAAATTTTACTTAAATTCTGAAACAGTTTTATAATAATATTAAAACTGTTTAATAAATTAAAAAAATATATAATATTAAAACAGTATATATATATATATATATATATATATATATATATATATATATATATATATATATATATATATATATATATATACACAATATTAAAACTGTTTAATAAATAATGAAGTCTTTTTATATGTAATATTAAAACAGTTTAATAAATAATAATTTTTTTTAATCATTTCATGGCTTTAACTAGTAAATCAAATTAAAAAAAAAAAAGGAAAAAAAAAGATTTTAAACAATTTTCCTTAATATTTAAAAAAAAAAAAGAAAAAACAATTAAATCTAGAGATATGCCAGAACCAGATTATGCTAAGTCCTGGATTCCGGGTACCCAGCAACAGATCAATTTTAAAAAGTTGCTTGTGAAGTCTTTAGCGTTGAATTGCTTTCACAAAATAACGCTGATTAATTTGCGCTAATAAAGTTTGCCTAAATATATCAAATTTCACTTTAATAAGCAACTATATTTACACTCAAGGCCACAAATTCTGATCATGCAAACTTAAGTGTCAACTCAATGTCCATAAACATTCTTTCTCCATCAGGGTTGTTAATATTATATTAGTAAATATATTATTATTTTCAAATAAATTTTTAAATGATTGTTTACAATAAACATGTAAGAAATCTTATAGCAGGGGCTCATACTGATGATAAAACACATTTTGCTTTAAATGCGTATTAAATTGTTATTGTAAAAAGCTGTATAAAACAAAAATCCTGTGAGGTTGTCTTTTCTATATAAAAAACTTGTACTAATATAAAACAATCTTGCCATGCTGCTTTATTGCTGTTTTATACAGTTTATAACATCAAAAACATAAAATGCAATTAAATTAAAACGTGTTTTAGCATCAGTATGAACAGGGTATTACATGTTTATTGTAATCAGTTGTTTACTTAAAACTATTGCAAACGTTTAGTTATTGTAAACCAAAACTGCATTTCATTTAAAGTTTAATTACTAAAAATTCTCTTGTGAAAAAACTCTCTTACACTCTTAAAAAGAAGCTATTAAAATACTTTTTTTTTCCCTTTCTTTTCTTTCGTATTCTCTAATTATTTTATTTTGCATTACTGATTTTATATCTGTATAAAATATCAGTTTCCTTTTTGCAATATATTCTGATTATTTTGCAAAAATGTATTTTATAAAATACTTTAAGTGAGACATGTCTACATTAAGTAAATAGGACTTTGATGTTATCGACTCCATAACACTCTTAGACTTACGTTAAGAAGTTTATTGGTTGAAGTTTAAACTAAAAGCAAAATTATGTTAATAATGTTTTGACACAATTTAAGTAACACTAATACAAATAGCTACAGCATTTTAAGTTTTTGTTTATTAAAAATAAATTATAACTATTCAACTTGTTTTATACTGAGCAATCATATGTTTTATCATATTCTTTTCTTTGTGTGATTTAGTTTAAGAGAAAACAAGAACAGAAGACAATTGTTTTTCTATTAAAATTTGAATGAATTCGAGACTTAGCTCCATTTCCATTGCATACATCGCTTTTAAATACAGTTAAAAACTATTATTTACATATAATTTCTTCATTTATATTAATTTTTATTTTTTAAATTATAAATGTAAAAAAAAAGTAATAGTATTAAATTTTTAACAAAACTTTTTTGACGGTTGCCACCATCCTCATGTAACTGAGGATAAAAACACTTTGTATTGTATGGAAAATTTTTAAATATTTAAGTTCTAAAATACTTAAAAAAATTTTCAGAACTTTTTTTGCATAGATATTCATATTTTTGTTTATCTAATTTTATATTATGATTTTTATCTTAAAACAAATTTTAATGAGTAAATTATAATAAAAATTAGTGATTTAAAATTGCTTTAAATATATTTAAGATTTTAAAATGTCATCAATGATAAGTAAAAAAATTTATTAAAATTGATAGCTTTTAAATAAGAAAGTTTTTGATAGCTTTAAAAAAAATAAGAAACTGGTCAATTTTGATCAAAAAGAATGCTAGTTAAAAGAACTTTTGTTTTAAAATACTACTTTAGAATTGATTTAAATAAGCAACAAAGGCATCCAAGGGGCAGAATGAGATTTGCTCACCGCACAAAGGTAGCAAGTAAATTTAATCCATTTAAATATCTAGTATACTACGTATTTAAATAGAAAAGAATATTTAAAGGGATCCTCAAGTGCCAAGACAAATTTAGTTCATATCATAGATAAACATTAGAAAATAAGTAAAAAGTTAATGAAACTTTCCAAAAAAGGAATATTAGCAATTTTTGCTATTATTACATAGCTAAGAACTATAAACTCTTTTTTAGTCTATTTTTATAGGTTTAATAATAATCTTGACTAATACTTCAAATAGTGAGCTTAATTAAAACTTATTAATATATAATTTAGTTAAGTGGTAAGTATGTTGTAAGGTTTTAAAGCAAACTACAATAGAACCTGTCATTTCGAAAAGGGCACAAGTCTATTTATTAAAACTTTTTAAAATCAACAAAAACATGATTTTTATTAAAATAATGTCTATGCTGGTAAAGAAACTAAACATAGAAGTAGATAAATAAAGAACATATATAACTTATGTAACTTTTATTTTTTATAAAAAAAAACCTTAACCATACAGAAATTTTTAATTTAAATTTACAAACTGTTAAAAGTTTTTTACTTGTGTCCTTTACAAAATAACAGGTTTAATTGTGAAGCTATTGTATTAAAATAATTATTCACTTTAAAAAAAAGATTGCTAAGACAGACATCGAGGTAGCAGTGTAGCTATCTTCATTACTGATGTATTTATCTCTAACGTTAATTAGTTCTATAAAACTTTTCTCAAACAAGTTTTGGTACCTTAAAATTTAACAATAAACACATACTTATTTATATTATAAATAGACCAAATGATACTAATTTAATATAATATATCGCTGAATCATCCAAATTAGCTTGTAGCTTAATTAGAAAGCCTTTAGATGGCTGCTTCATTGTTAGTAATTTTAACATATCACATTTCTTAAATCCAGAAACCCTATGGTTGCTCAAACCATGTTTTGGACTTACAGCAGGAATTCTATTTTAAAATTGTTTCCTAATTTTATATTAGGTAATAATACTAAGGGCCCCTTTAGTATCACTTGAGGAATTTTAGTTTCAAAACCGTTTTCTGAAAGTGAATCTCAGTTGTTTAGTTACAACAAAGGTGATTATGAATCAATATCAAACTTTATTGCATCAATCAAATGAAATATTTTATTTCTGCATAAAACCGCGGATCAAATGTTTAATTTATTAATTTTTAGCAATTGTATTGTTTGTGAATACTCTATCCCCAGGGTATTAACAAAGAAAAAGTACGATCCTTGGGTTACTCCACATATTAAAAACCTAATCCGAGCAAAATAAATCAGTTTGGTATATCTACTTATTTTTGGTATAACTACTTAATTTTGGTATAACTACTTTTTTTTTTTTTTTTAATTATTCACCTCTCCAAGGCCCAAGGGGGCCACTACAGTCAAGGAGGCTACTCATTTTTTTTTTTTTTTTGTAAATTGTGGTACAACTCTTTCTCAACTCTTTAACTCCGAAACACGAACCTTGACAAGCAAGACGGCTGCGCGGAGAAATTAAGTTGAGCCCAGTACTTCCAGGGACGTGGTGGGAGTTGAACTCCGAACCACTCGCTTACAAAGCGAGCGCTCTTACCACTACACTACTACCGCATACTTAACTAAATGGAAGAACAATAAACTTGAAATAAACTGCTATTTTCCTAATTGTTCCATAAAAGCTGATTTAAAGCAAAAAAAGCACATAAAAAAGAAATAATATTAAAATCCCTCTGAATAATTTACATCCTCAAAAAAATTATATAAACCTGAATGGTCATTTGAATGTCACTGAATGTCACTATATGTTGGATTATATTTTACTTAGTGTTGTATATAAAAAAAATTAATTACTTATTTTCTAAGAAAAATATTCATTGTGTATTTTAAAAGCTACTAATTTTATATAAAAGGAAAAATCAAACATCGTACTTTCGAATTTAAGATCCACGTTTGACTAACTTATTATTTATCCACAATTGCTTTTTTTTTTTTTGAAGACACTAGGTTGAAATGATTAGCAAACATTTTTTTTTTTGCTTTTTTTTAAAGTTTATGTACTTTTAAGTTTATGTACTTTTTTATTTTATATATATAGGTACGTGGAAATATCCGTTATACGGAACCGAATATTGTGCTAAAAAACTGTGCCACACTTTTTAGATTTTTTTTTAGCTAACGTAGGGAAGACGTGTTTAGTTAAAAAACTTTTTAGAATTTGATATCAATATAGATTATTTTTAGAAACTAGAATAGTTAAACTTTATTACTGTGAGGTTTATTATTTTACTAGATGGCTAATTTATTGAGTTTTTTGATGTCTAAAACTTTGTTGTACTTTGGGCATGAAATTAATGTTGAAGATATGCTCATTTTTTTTTCTATACTATTCTTTTTTTTAAGTTTTTCATTTATCTATGCACCTGGAAAATTTCATTGAAAAAAAAGTTGTAGCAGGGTGTCTATTTTTTGTCGCAATTTTGGTACCTAATTTTCACTTTGCTGAAGTGGTCGCAGGAGACAGAGGGGTTAATTAAACATTGTTTATATTTGATTTTAATTAAACAAAATTTTCAGTTTTTTTTTTTAGATTAATTAAAATGGAAAGTAGAGATATTGATAAAAGTTTTTAATATTGTTTCCTATTTATTAAATTATTTGCCTTCAATGTAAAGTTATGTTTCCTACTTTAAAGTTAAATTTTTTAAAAATGTAACTGACATTTGTAATATTATAACATATTTTATCTTACATTGTAAGTAAGTAAGTAATATATATATATATATATATATATATATATATATATATATATATATATATATATATATATATATATATATATATATATATATATATATATATATATATATATATACATACTGATATATATCAGTTAGTTATTTTACACATTCAATATACATTAGTTTTTTTTAACTTAAGATCAATAGATTTCGTCTAAACAAATGTTTTTATTATTTTGTTAAAAAAAGTTTTTCATTTGTTTTTAAGAGGTTAAGTCAGTTTTTTTTTGCGATTTATTATTTTATTATTTAGTCTTTCACTCTCAATATTCAATTATATATCTTTATTATGCTATGTTTTTTGGGCAGATTTTTGAGCATCCACAATTTTTTTTTAAAGTTGTTTATTTATATATTTCTGATTGTTTCATGCTTTTTATTGAATCATTGTTTTTTTTTTCTACAGGCAATATAGAACAAATTATAAGTAAGTAAAGTTTGAAATATTTTAGTTATTTAGTCATTTAAACTTTTTTTTTTTTGTAATGTTAGTAAATTTTAATAATTTCAATAGTATAGTTTAATGATACATGCTAACTAAAGATTATTACTTAATTGATACACAAGCTAAAGGTTTTTAATTTATTGATACACACTAACTAAAGATGTTGTAGCGAAAATTGTAACTTGAAATTAAGTTTATTTTAGTAAACATTATATTACTATTGTTATTACTCATTTCTTTTTAATTCTTTAACAACACTTACTTCATTAATTAGTAAGAGATTAATGTGTACTTTTATGTGTATGTATTGAGAAATATAGTCTGATTTTGTGGATTATGCAGTATTATACTATTTAATATGTACTATGTTATTGTATATTTAATATGTACTATATATGTATATTTAATATATAATATTTACATGTACCATTTATTCTTTTGTGTCATTGTATTATTTAATCTTTAATATCCTTGTCATCTGTTGCAGCTGGTAAGGTTTCTATATTATAAATTTGAGAGATAAAGTAATTAAATGCAAGTTCATGTAACGCGTATAAATAGAGTTAGCAATCGATTGCATCAGGCTAAAATTAGAGCCAATATTTCCCAAAGACAGGCATCCAAGTGCCAAAAAATTGATGAAAAAAAAAAAAGTTAGAGCAAAAAAAGTTAGAGCGTTAGCTATCCAAATTGAGTTATGATGAAATTATAGGTTCATTCAAAAATTTGTCTATGACCAACTTTATAATTTAGAAGATGTCATGTATTGAAGAATTTTAGGCAAAAAACTATATCATGAATGATATGATCCTAAACATCCAAGCCTGTTTGGTATAATGGCAGAGTAGAAAAAGTATTTAGTTGAAAAAATGACTTAGTTTACACTATTTCTTACTGGAAAGATGATGAAGCGTATATGGAAGCTGTTGACCATTGCATGAAAAAGATCCAGCTTGTTGCAGATGTTATTTCAGAAGAGTTACATTTTTATTAATTTTATATTATATTAATAGAACACTGTGAAAGTACAAGTTTGAAATTTAAGCTAAAAAAGTACTACAAATGAATTGCTGAAAAATACTACCAGTGTTGTGACTAGCTAAAAGAAATTTATTATTGTAATCATTCACTAAAAGCCAAGACAAAACTATATGAGATAAAAAATAAACAAACCATTATTATTTCTTTTTAATAACATTTTATTTGTTTTTTAGTTTGAAACAGTCAAAGTGCTATTTGAAAGATTTAAAAATTATTAAAGGTTGGTTAATAAAATGGATATCAAAGCTGTAGAACATTGCATGAAAAAGTTTCAGCTTGTTGCAGATATTGTTTCCAGAAAGTTGACTAGATATTATTTTGTTAAAACACTGCAAATATATAAATTTGAAATTTATAGATTAAAAAACTGCAAGTACTGTGACTTGTTTAAAAAAAAAAGTACTGCTAGTGTTGTGACTTGCTAAAAAAAAGTAGCGCAAGTGTTGCGACTTGCTAAAAAAGAGTACTGCAAGTGTTGTGATTTGCTAAACAAAAGTACTTTAAGTGTTGTGACTTGCTAAAAAAAAGTACTGCATGTGCTGTGACTTGCTAAAAATAGTACTGCAAGTGTTGTGACTTGCTTAACAAAAGTACTGCAAGTGTTGTAACTTGCTATGTATTTTTGATAGACGGCTCTGGCTTAAATGTAAAAAAATGTAACTTTTACTGGGTTAGATATATTTTTTACTTCTTTGTTGTTGTTTTTTATATAACCAATCAAATATTTCATAATTAAAATTTTTTTGCAATATTAGGGTGTGTTAAAACATAGTCAACCATTTAACACGAGTTTTACACTTACCTTCAATGTTTGGTGGTTGTTCAGTATTAATTTATAGAACCTTTATACAGAAAAAAACTTTTAATTTATAGAACCTTTTTACAGAAAAAAACTTTGTTTTGGGACTTTAGGAAACAGTAGTTGTGTCATTTTAATTTTTTTTTTTTTAGGTTGGGGGGGGGGGAGGGAGAGTTATTCGCCCCTCCCATACATCGATGTAAACATGACTTAAATTCGTAATAGTACCACTACGTAAATTCTTGTAGAACATAATTTTATATTGTATACTAATTGAATTCATTTTAGTAAAGATAAAAATATTTATGAAAACAAGTCTTTTTTGGTACTAGGGTGTATCAAACCATCACCACCACACCTACCTCCAACGTTAACATACGCTTCTCATATACTCTGGTGGTTAAATATAATTTTATAACTATGTTTTTGTATATTTAAAATACTTGTCTTGAAAAAAGACTTTTTTGTGTGAAAAAAAAAGTCTTTTTTCAAGAAAAAATGTTTAGTTTCATACGGGTAAGGTGGTGGTTTGGTGCCCCCTCTGTCTAACCACCGGGTGTCCATCCGATACACCCGGTGGTTAGAGTTTAACAAAATTTGTAGCCCACTCTTACACCTATCCTTTGACACCAAGGTATTTGTATTTCGATAAGAATGAATAAAGTTATGACAATTTAAGTGAAGAAAAACATAATTTTGACCACAGTTTCTTCAACAATTGCATATATCGAAAAATCGGTACTTAAACTGTCATAACTTTTGAACCGATTGTTCGTTTTTGATAATTTTTTCACCTTTAAAATACTGTATTGGTCCTCTTTATAATGATATATAACAGTAGAATATTTAATATATATATATATATATATATATATATATATATATATATATATATATATATATATATATATATATATATATATATATATATATATATATATATATATATATAAATTGTATTTCAATTTATATTAAAGCAGTAGAATACTACAACAGAAAACTTAACTATCGCATGTTTAGAGAACATACTATTAAATGATTAGAAATTTTAAATATTTTAATGTGGCTGAAATATTCCAATATAATTTGAAATGAAAATGGTTTAAACAACTACTAAATAATTGCTAAATAATTACTAAATAACAACTAACTAAATAATTGATTATATAAAATTCAATAAATCTACCTGCTCAACATCAGACTTTTTCTCCAAATGAACATTTCGATTTTTCGTATATGGATTTGCTCTATGACTTTTTGAGGAATGAGACTTTATTTTTCGAGATTTATCATTTAACACAACATTATTATTATACATTTCGCTTTTTACTTTTTTAATTATTAAAACATTTTTTAAAATCACGTTTTTGGACCTTACGACACCATTTTGCATGCGAAATGGCGGCAGATGACACCCAAAAACCATTGCGACATTTTTTAAACTTTAAGGTGGTAACACATCATGAAGAAATCTTAAAAACAAACAGAAAATATTTGATTATGTGAACTTGTTGCATTACAAACCTTATAAACAAATCTTGTTATTGATCATTGTAACGTTTGTTTAATGCCCCATTATACTACACATTGAGTCTCGTTTTTAGGGACCGGAACAACAATAAATTTTCTTCTGTTTTTTACCGTTTTATGTCTTTTTACCAACACTTCTAATATAAAAAATAAAAAACAAAACTAATTTTTCTGACCTCCATTGGGGTTTAAATATTTTATGAAAACTCAATTTTGAGCAACTCCGCATTAAATCTGTGCCAATAAAAGCAGAGTTATTTAATTTTTTGAGTTTGAACAAGCCTTACTAGTAGAAAGGTTTATACAAAATCATAGCAAAAAAAAGTGATTTTTTCGAAATACAGTTGACTCTCGATATCTCGACTACTCGATATCTCGAACTTTTGCGTATCTTGAATTTCATTCCCGGTCCCTTGCACACTGAAAACAACTCCAAAAACATATAATTATGTCAAATAAAAATGCATTTTCAAAAAATTCTGATGATTGGTGTCTGAGAACAAGTAAGCCCTAAAATTTTGGCCACAACTGCCCTAAAGGTGAGGGCAACAATTTGATAATATCCTTTTTGTTACTAATTTGTTGTATACAATGAATTTATATATATAATATATTTATATATAGAACGAATATCTTTTCAAAAGTGAACTATATTTAATAAATTCATTATTGAAAAGTTTCAATAAAGAATTTTTTTTTTTAAAAAAAAGCGTTTTAAAACACTTTTTTAGTTTATGATAATGTTAAAGTTCATGTAATGTTAAATCTTTTTTTTTTTTTTGAGCATCAGCATTTAAATTTAGTTAATACTCAATAAATCAAAATAGTAATAAATCGAAACAGTTTGTTTATGAAACTATATTGGCTGTACTATTTGTGTTCGAATTGTAGTAGTTTTAAGGTAAAAAAAGATCATTTTAATTTTAATTTTGAATATCAAATTTTGGTTTGTTTGTTTTCAGCAAAGATTTCTTAGTGTGCATAGTAGATTTCAAGAAATAGGTATAGATAAAATTTTAATTTATTTTAAATTTATGCATATATTTCATAAGAACCGAATTTAGTAAAGATCTTCAGTTATGGTACTCTTGTGTTCAAAGTAAAAATGGGGGGAGGGGTCATGATAAATAAGGTTGGTATGGAACTTTTTGAAAGTTGTGCATGAGAGGGAATGGGAAGAGTATTATATTTACACAAAAAAACTTCGCCAAAAAGAGAAATAAATTTTCCCATAAAGGTTTTAAAAAAAAGTCAACTTGGTAATCTAAAAATCGCCGTTCGTTTTAATTATTCTTTATTTATAATTATGTAACCATTATATTTTATATAGCTATTGTATAGTGTAAAATATAATGTGGGTTTATAAACATTATAACAGGCTTTGTGTATAAACATCACATTGCGTACTGCTTGTTTTTAGAGGCTTTTAGTTAAAGTTATTTTTCGTTTTAAACCACTTTTTTTAGTAAATGACATGAGGTAGAGATGATTGAAAACAAATTTAAAATCTTTTTTTATTAGATCCTTTTTTTAAATTGAAAATATTTTGATAAAATTTGAAATTTATTTATAATTTAAAATTTTATTAAAGTACTAAAACATAAACACTCACTAAAAATGCTCCAGTAACCGCTGGTTTTGAGAGACTAATTTTTGAAAAAGTATATAATTAGTAACGTAATTTATAATTAGATTTTAAATTGCATTAAAACTAGCGTTGTTTACCAGAATAATAAAATTCTTTCGAAAGATTATTGACATTCAGGGGTTGATTTGTCTTTTTGCCGAAATTAATAAAATATTTACATTTGAAGAAGTACCTTTCGCAAGTAATACTCCGAAACTTCTATAAGTTGAATTTTAAGTATCCTAAGTAGACTTTCATTAGTTGAATTTTTAATAATAGCTTTTTTGCTAACTTTGAGAGTAGCGCTTTCGGAAGTTTTCGGAAGTTTTCGCTTTCTTTTTTTTTTAGTCTATACAATGAGTTACCAAAATGTTTGTAACGAAACTCACAAAGAAAACGTTTTTATAATTTTATGACATTTTTTAAAAAAAAACACACTTTTCATTGATTCTTTTAAAGATTTTATACACAATAATTAATTTTTAGTATAAAAGGGTTTAAAAGAAGTTAGCAAACTTGCAAGACAAAAAAAAAAACTAATAGCCTTAAGTTTTCTCTGGCAAAGAGAAAGGGCAAGTAGAGTCTTATTTATTTAGAATTTTTTAGTTGTGTATAACGCAAAAATAGTTACGATTGTTTTTTCTGTATGCAGTTTTTATACTTAGAGATATCTCAAGTTTTTACAAATCCAATTGACTTGAAATTTTTACAATATGTTCAGTTCAAAAAAAACCAATACAACATTATTTTGTGAGGCCAAAGGCAATTTTGAAAAGCCAAGTTCATCTTTTTTGTTATCACAAATTTGTTACACATCAAGAAAGGTACCATAAATTTTTAAATATATATATACTTTTTTTATTAAGACCCATGCATGGATTTTTAGATATTTTTCTTTTTACCGATTTTGCACATTTTGTAAACACCCATGTATAGATGCTACCTGCTAAATTTGATAACAATCTGACTGTGTAAATGAAGTTCTCAATTTACAAAAGTATGGTTCTTTTTTGTTCCTTAAAGTTAAATTAATAATTTTTCAAGACAAAAAATGATTAAATAAGAAAAACCTTTGTATGATATATTTTATAAAAATAGCTTAAATTAGGGGACCTACCACCTTTATAACATTTTAAGTTTTCCTTTATATATTTCCAACTCAGGTGGTGCGAGACCTGTCTTCGTAAATTTCGGGTTTCTTTTGTTTATGCGCGGACGACGTGCTTTTTATTCAAATTATTGTTTAAATCTTGCGAGAGAATTTCAAAACGCTGATTTATAATATAACGATGACTTTTTGACTTATAAAATCCAATAAAAAAAGTTTCCTGTGCTATCTTGAATTTATAACATTATGAACATTATGAATTAGTGTTAGGGTTAGGGTCAGTATATAATACGATGAATTCATACCATAATACATTTTTTAAATTATTACTTTGTCCATAAAACTTGAGTGATCGGTAGGTGAATCTTAATGTTATTTGGTTATACTAATCATTTTGTATGTAATGTATTTGAAAACCTTAATACAATATTGTATTGCTTTTACAAGTGGAATAAATGAATAAATGAAAAAAGAGTCACCACCCTCAAGTGACTATTTAAAATCTGGAATTGTTATGGTGTCTATTAGATTTTGTTGATTCAATTTTTTATTAAACACCATTTTAGTACCTTGCTGACGTTTTTTTTTTTTTCATATAAAAACCAAGATTGCTCTTAAATAATCAAAAAAAAAATTTTTCTCTAAAAGTTTAGAACTTGAATGAGAGGTAGAAATTAACAATCAAAAATTAGTAAGCTAAAACAAATTTTAATATGAAAAACTATATTGAATAAAAGAAATCTAATTAACAATATATGTCAATGCGAAAAGATCCAACTTCAATCCAGACAATTTCTAAACAAACAACAATTTATTACGAAAACAATAATAAGACTAGATTATTATTATTAACAAATAAGATAACTTTGATTTATTATTATAATTTAATAATATTTTTTAAAATTAAAACTGTTACTCAAATAATATACCAAAGCAGCACACTAACTTTGATACGATATTGGAACAATGATCAAGGTTGTTTTGAAGTTGTTCTAACGGAGTGTGCTCAGTGACGGATCCACTCACCCTACCCCCTCATTTTATTTGTAGAATCGTCTCTGTACTTGTTGTTACAATTACTATCTTTATACTTAAAGCCATGAATTCTTTGAATAATGTTTATTTTACTAGAAAAGTCTCTCGCAATATTTTATTAAATCACTTTCTTTTACTTGCAAAAAAATTGGTTTAATTAGTTGTCAAAAATATGAATACTTTTTTACATGCGATTTTATTTAATTTTACAATTCATTCATTTTTTCAAATCTTCTGTTGATTTCTTCCTTTTTTAAATTATTTACTCTAATCTAAGCCATTTCTTTTCACACAATACATTATAAACATATAATTGACTTCATCCAACTTCAACATATTTGTTTGTCTCTGCAAATAATAGCACATCAAGTTTCATTTTGGTTATTACAAATGTTATTCCACGCGTAAAAAACATCACTGTTTTACGGCCATCAAAAAGCCTTTAAAAAAAAAATAAAGTGACAAATTGACAGATACAAGAAAAGTTTTGCTTAATGATTTAAATCAATACTTTTTTAGATATGTTTCTTTTAGTTAAAAGAATTTTTGTCAAAAAAATTTTTGTCAAAAAAATTAGTTTTCATTTAGGACTACTTTGTTTGGTATTACCATGTTCAACCAACAATTTTTGAAAAGCGGTTAGTTTTAAAAGAAATATGTAGAAGGTCAGCCAAACTACTACAAAAATTTGGATTGGCCTTAAACCACCTGAGAAGGATGTCGAAATATTAGTAAGAGGACTAAGAGGTCGTCCGTAAAGTACGTGTTCCTAGCGAAAGGAGGGGGGTGGCGGGGCGGGGTCTCCAATAGCAAACGAAAGCATATGGGGGGGGGGGGGGGGGTCAATTAAAAAGTACGTACTTCGATTTTCTAATTTATCACAAATAACTAGGTAACCAATAGAAATGTTTAAATTCTAATTAAACATCCTAGTTTGCCAACAGAAAAGGATGTATGGTATAGGGAAGTCAAGGGTATAGTATCCCTCTATGCACTCACATGCTACCCAAAAATAGTGCCGTGGATTCCCCCTTCCCCCCCCCCCCCAAAAAAAAAAAAATAAATAAATAAAATAAAAATAAATAAATAAACAAAAAAAAAGGTCTCAAAATCTTCCAAATTTTACCGCTAGGTATTGCTAAAATAAAAGCTCTTTAAATTTGCAAAAGGGCCCCTAAATTTGCAGCCCCCGCCCTCAATTAGGGGTATGGGTAGTCTACTCCCGCGTGGGTAAGCTACCTATACCGGTGCCGGGGTCTTGGGGTTGTAGGCTTTGTTTTCAATATTACTGATCTCGCGTAATACTCGTTCTCAACAGACATACAAAAAAAACGTCCAAAAAACTTGAATGTGACACGATCTCCACGGCGAAATCGCATGATTTAACCTCTCGGCCAAACCAACATACTAAATAAATGTAATTTAACTCTAATATCAATGATATATTATTTAACTAGAAGTCTAACTTGCGGGATTTTACTGAAAAAAAAAGTAGAGCCGCGTTTTTTTGTTTATAACAATTGTCCCCCATTTATAAAAAGGGTAAAAGCTGAAGCCGAAGTGTTGAGTGCAAGTCAAAAGTTCCTAATAAATTAAAGATAATTCAAAAACAAATTTAAATAACTATAAAATACTTATAAAGGTTTTTTTGTGAGCATATGTTTATTGAAAAGTATTTTAATTCATAAAAATGCATCAAAAGTTTATGTCATTTTACTCTTCTGTTCTTAACTTTAATTCCTTTTTAATCGAAAACTTTAAGGAATCATAAATTATTATTTCGTAAGTATTATAATTTTCGCTTAACACTTTTACGTAAGTAGGAATTAAATTAAAAATATATTTACTTCATTTAAGAAAATTAAAAAAAAAAGTTAAAATTATTTGTTTACAAATTTAATTCGCCATTTGTAAAAAGGACAAATAGCCGCTTCACTTTTCGGATCGAAGTTAGACATCTAGTTATATATCATAATACAAATATTTAATACAAATATTTTATATTAATACAATATTATATTATATAATAAAATATTAATACAAATATTTGTCAAATATGTAAATTTTTAGTGTACGTACTTTATGGACCGACCCATAACCACCATATCATTATATTTACCATTACCTATTAATAGCACATTCTTTCATTATAGATATATTAGCAACGTCGATTATCTTTTGGGACCTGCATTACTTTAGGAACAGAAAATTTTGCTAAGTAGTTGGAGTAGGAACGTAACTAACATTAACACAAATAAAACAAAATCTGTTTAAATTTCTTTACTATCATTTTATTACTAAAAATATTTACAGAAATACCGTGTAATAAATAAGTTTTTACAGGCAAAGAAACGGTCATTATGACACAAAGCTATTAGAAGCTACTAAGTCGAAAAACGTCGGATCGTCATAAATTCGAATAGCAAAATTTTAAAAAGACTAATATATATAATTTCGTAATATATTTGTGATAGCGTTATTTCTCGACTTTTAACTAACAACAACTTCGCCTAGCAAGCAATTATAATATATTTCTATAACTCATCTTTATCTTCTTTTTCATCTGAACCAGGTGTTGGGCCTTCCCCTGGTTTACCTCCACTTTGTTGATAAATTTTACTAACTATAGGAGTAGCAATGTCCTCTAATTTCTTTTTATTTTCTTTTAGTTCATCTGTAGAAGCATCAGGATGACTTTCGAGATATTTAACAGCTTCTTCAATTGCTTTTTCTAAGGTTGCTTTATCGCTTTCACTTAATTTACCACCAAGCTTTTCTTTGTCTCCAACTTGATTTTTTAAAGAGTAAGCATAACTTTCAAATTCATTACGAGATTCTACTTTTTCCTTGACTTTTTTATCTTCATCTGCAAATTTTTCAGCATCATTAACCATACGCTCAATATCTTCAGGAGACAATCTATTCTGATCATTGGTAATTGTAATCTTTTCTTTCTTTCCAGTACCTTTATCTTCTGCACTAACTCTAAGAATACCGTTAACATCAATTTCAAAAGTAACTTCAATTTGAGGAACACCACGAGGAGCAGGAGGAATACCATTCAAATCAAATTTTCCTAACTGATGATTGTCTTTTGTCATTGGACGTTCACCTTCAAAAACTTGAATTGTGACAGTTTGTTGGTTATCTGCAGCAGTTGAAAAGATTTGTGATTTTTTGGTTGGAACAACAGTGTTACGACTAATCAATTTGGTCATTACACCACCAACAGTTTCGATTCCAAGAGTTAATGGATTAACATCAAGAAGAACAATTTCAGTTTCTTCTTCACCACTAAGCACACCTCCTTGGACTGCAGCACCAAATGCAACTGCTTCATCAGGGTTAATTCCTACAAATAAAATTTGTTATTTATAGTTTGCAAATCATTACAACAAACTACTCTATAAAAAAAATAAAAACAACTTTTTATTTTTACAAAATAATCACAGCACTATTTAGAAAGAAAAAATCAAATATATATTTTTTTGAAGTAAACTGTAACTGTAACTACAAAATATATTTACACTTCAAAAAAAAATTTAAAATGATAGAAAATCTTTGGTAATTTTTAAATGACTTTAAAGAAAAATTAAAAAAAAAACAAAAAACAAAAACATGAGCAAATTATACCTTTGCTGGGTTCTTTGCCTTGGAAGAAATCTTGTACTAACTTTTGAACTTTAGGAATACGAGTAGATCCTCCAACCAAAACTATTTCATCAATCTCACTTAATTTAAGACCAGAATCATCAATTACTTGCTTAACAGGTTTCATTGTAGATTTGAATAAATCCAAGTTCAACTCTTCAAATTTTGCTCGTGTTAGTGTTTCTGAGAAATCCTCTCCATCAAATAATGATTCAATTTCAAGTCTAGTTTGATGTTGAGTACTTAGAGTTCGCTTAGCTTTCTCAACTTCTCTTCTAAGTTTTTGAACAGCACGGTTGTCCTTTCGTATATCTTTACCTTTCTTTTTCTTGTATAACTTAATAAAATGTTCCATAACACGCTGATCAAAATCTTCACCTCCAAGATGGGTATCACCATTTGTTGAAACAACTTCAAATACACCGTTATCAATGGTTAATAGAGAGACATCAAAAGTACCACCACCCAAGTCAAATACAAGTACATTTTTTTCTCCCTCTTTTTTATCTAAACCGTAAGCAATTGCTGCAGCGGTTGGCTCATTAATAATTCGCATCACATTTAAACCAGCAATTACACCAGCATCTTTTGTTGCTTGACGTTGAGCATCATTAAAGTAAGCAGGAACAGTGACAACAGCATGAGTTACTTTTTTGCCTAGGTATGCTTCAGCTATTTCCTAATTTAAAAAATATATATACTTTAAAATGATAACACAAAAACAAAAACTGTTTGATAATAATAAAAAAAGGATCATTATTACTTTGTGTGTTAGTAGAATTAACAATACCTTCATTTTTACTAAGACCATAGCACTAATTTCTTCAGCAGTAAATGTTTTATACTCTCCTTCTTTTACTTGAACTTTAATGTGTGGTTTCTTATTTTTTTCAACTACTTGAAATGGAAAATACTTAATATCATGCTGAACCGATTTGTCACTCCATTCACGACCAATTAATCGTTTAGCATCAAATATTGTGTTTTCAGGATTTGAAGTAAGTTGATTTTTAGCTGCATCTCCAATTAAACGCTCTCCTTCACTAGTAAATGCAACATAGGAGGGTGTAATACGATTACCCTGGTCATTTGGAATGATTTCAACTCGTCCATTTTTAAAGACTCCAACACTAAATAAATAATATTTGCATGACTATGTAAAGTATTATATATGTATTACACATTTTATAATACTAAGTTTAAACTTATAACTAATTTTTTACACTCGATACTTATGATTATGACTTTTTATGATTATATTAATTATTGAAAATGCAACTTTGAAAAATTTGATTAAAAAATATTACAAAATTTATTACCATGAATAAGTTGTTCCTAAGTCAATGCCAATAACAGTTCCGAAGTTTTCTTTTTTTTCTTTATCATCTTTCTTCTCGTCTTTATCTTTATCTGCACAATAAATAGTGCATGTGACAGCTAATAGCATAAAAATAATCTTCTTCATTTTTTTCTTTATGCGCTTATTCCAGGAGTATACCGTCTAGAACCGCTTTGTAAATCTTTTTGATTCTCTTAGCGAAAAACTTTAAATCTAGCCACTGTTTTCGTGTGTTACTGTGATTGGTAATGTTATGCGAAGTGTTGGATTTTGATTGGTTTACGTGGCTTTTACTTATTTCCGTGGACGTTTACAAACTCTGCTTAAAACAAAACTTATTATAAGGATATATTAAAACCTTAAATTAAGAACGTTCTAGAAATAATTAAGTTAGCGATGGAAGTAGTTTGTTACGACTTCAGTCTGAATCCTACTCAAATGAGGGGCTACAAATTTAAATGGACATGATTTTTGAAGGCGAAAAGTTTGTTTTATCAAAATTAAATCTTTTCGGTGAATAAAAATTTAATTAAGAATAGTTAAATATTTTACAAACTCGTTGCTCTCACGTTTGGGGATAATAATTTAAATTAAAGATTTATTTTTTATAAATATTAAACATAAATAAACAACAAAATATTAAACATAAATAACACAACTTTGAATTAATATACTTTTTTCTTCAATAAATATATAAAATAAATCAATAAAATTGACTTTTACGTAAATTTATAGATGAAAATTGAGAGTGCCCTTCAAAACTTTCGTTAAAAAAAGGTTTAAAACATATTTTTAATTAGATTAAATAATGTTAAAATTATGTACCACATTTTTATCATCTGTTATTAATTTTTTTTGTCTTCTAAAGATTTTCACAATCAAGTTACATCCCTAACCCTGCTAGCACTAAACTTTTGTCTTTTTGAATCTCTTAGTCAAATTTGTATCTCATTTTCTAGACAACGCCAGTCCCTTACATAAATTTTTTTGTCTTTGATTCTAGCTTGTGCTCAGTTTCATTTTGTTATATTTTAGATAATTTAGACTGTTTATTAGTCTAGACATTAGCAGGAAGTATGGTCAAACGCTAAGGTTAATTATTCTTAGATAATTAACACTTGTTTTTCTTTCTTAAAAGTAAAGTGGTAGAAACCTAATCAAAATTAGGTCTCTAGCATTAAGAATTTAATTAACAAATTAAAGTCTAGTCTACCAATCTCTTATACATGGATCTCATCTTACAACCTCATCCACAGATAACATATTTGCAAACATTTTCCTCTCGTTTCTTAAATCTAATAACCACACTCTTGATACTCTAGTAAAAAAGTTAATCGATTGTTAGACACCTGAATCTATCTTATGTTGTTAAAGTTGTTGCTCACTTAGTCTTGACAACATTTCTGTCACACTTCTACAATACTTTTCTTTGGGGCTCTTTTTATCAGGAAAGATGGGAGAGCATTGATTGCAACGAAAATATAGTATACCATTTCCTTGATAATTTTGCTTTATTACAAGTTAGTTTGTAATTTATCTGGTTTTTTATGCTGTTTTTGTTTTTTAGCGTAGTCTTTAGCGGCATCAAGAAAATAGAATTTAGTAAAATAATTCAAAAAAAGGCCCCCAAAATAACTTAAAATGCTTTTTCGTTTAATTTTTTTACAGTTAAATGACATGCACTTAATAAAGTGTACAAATAAACAAACTTTTAACATTAAAAAAAAATTGTTGTGAAAAAAAATATAAAATAATAAAAACAGCTAAAATAAAGTTTTAGAGGGAAGACCATTAAATGTCGTCTCCTTCTTGCGTCGAAATTAACTAAACTTTTTCAACTGAATCATTAAGTTTTAAATTGTTTTAAAAAATAATAAGAACTGCTTATTATCAAAAAAAGACCATCAAAGTTGTCTTTATAAACACCTAAAGCAACAAGCTTTGTTTAATCAACTGCCGATACATTTTTTTTAAATATTTTTTTAAACCTCAAAACAGTAATAAAGCAGTTTTAAATTTGATACCTAGACGAGAATGATTAAGGAATAGCAAAAATTTCCAACTCTTTCAAAATTAATGATATTTGTCAACAAGAAAGCTCAAAAAGCTACGTTTATAATCATAAATTAAAAGTTTGCAATGTGCAATCATTAAATTGCAAGAAAAATAAAACCTTTTTTTTACATATAAAACTTATACAACTAGGGTCGTTTCCACACCTAGCGTGAGTCGACACTTATCGTAGGTTTTAAATACTAACATAAGTTTTGCAATAAGTAGTAATTATTTTTTTTTATATATATTTTCTTTACCAACAACATCGTCATGCACTTCTATTACAATACATAGAAACCGCAATACATATTTACTTATATAAATTCAGTGGGTTTATTACGTCAGCCTATGAAAATACTTTTTTTTAAGTACCAGCTGTTAGAAGCGTTTCAAATAAAACAAGATAATTTAAGAAGATAAGATAAAATTTTATTTCTAAATTGATTTAATAAGGTTAATAAAACATGGATCATTATTAATATTATTAAAACCACTCATCATTATAGTATCAATGTAGTATTTTTGAACGTACGATAAGTATGAACAAAAAAAATGTTATTCCATACATATCGTATGTCCAATAAATAATCAACTTGGTTCTTTTTTACATAAAAAAAAATTATTTTACTTCGATTCTTTTACAATGGCAAGACAACAATATAAGACAAAAGTTTGTAGCTTAAAACGAAGACTTCAATATACAGATAGCCAGTTAAGAGATGCTATTGATGCTGTTAAAAAAGGTATGGTTGTGTACAAAGCAAGCAAGACGTTTGGAATTCCTTATCAGACGCTTTGTGATAAAATATCTGAAAAAACTTCTCTGAAGATACAACACTGCGGTTATGAATCAGTACTAGGTGAACACATTAAAACTGATTTAGACGAGTGGTTACTAACATGCACCAGAATGGGATTTACCATGTCTGTAGTACAGCTATTAGATAGTGTGCAAAAATACTTGAATTCCAACAATATAAAAACAAAATTTACTAACAACCTTCGTGCAAAAGGTTGGTTTTATGCATTTCTTCGCCGTCACGAATAGCTATCTCAAAAACGAGGTAAATACTTAAACCGAGGTAGAGGAGGAATAACTTAAAAAGCCATAAAAGATTGGTTTACTGAAATTCCAAAGCTTTTAGGAGAAAACGCTCAATTTTTAAATGATTCGATGCGCGTTTTCAATATGGATGAGAGTGGTTTTCAGTTGTCACCAAAAACTAATTTATTAATTGGTGAACGAGGAAAAAATACATATGAAAAAAGTGCTCGAAGTAATAAAAAAAACATCACCACTTTATTTGCAGTAAATGCCAGCGGAAACTTTGCTCCATCATTAACAATTTTTATATATGTTCGTCTTCCAAATAGAATTATAAATACTGCTCCATCAGGATGGGTTATTGGAAAAAGTGAAAATGGTTGCATGACCGCAGAATGTTTTTTCGAGTATATTACAAACATTTTTCATCCAATTTTGATAAAAGAAGAAATTTCTTAACCAGTTATTATTTTTTTTGATATCATGCGTCACATTTTTCTATCGAACTTAGTGAGTTTTGCTCTAAATATGGAATAATTTTTGTTGCTTTATTCCCAAATGCAACACATATTTTGTAGCCGCTCGATGTGGTAGTTTTTGGGCCAATGAAAGCAAAGTGGAAATCTTTTTGCCGACAATGGCGCATTGACCATTAAGGACAAGAAATAAACAATGAAAATGTATTAGAATTAAATTCATTTATAATCGATCCTTCTATGGCAAATAATGTTAAAAGTGCTTTTAAAAATACCGGAATATTTCCATTTGATGCTAATAGTGTGGACTACACAAAAATTGTTCAAAGATTATCTGAGTCAACTGTGGCTCCGACTCCTTATTTAGAAGAGAATCAATCAAGTGGGACTTTATCCGCTTCCTCTCCCATAAACTTTATTGAAAACTGCATTGATCCAAGTATTTTAGAGCAGTTTAAATTAGCTGACGAACATTTAGGTTGGAAAGGTGATCTTGAATTACTCCAGCTGTATCATTTTTGGAAAAGAGCCTCATCTGAAACATATAAGACCACAATTTTACCTGATGAAATACAACAGGGTAATAAAAATCTATCAACAACTTGTAATTTAGAAAATGTGCAAGTTAAACCGGTATGGAAATGCCTGATTGCAATATTGCAGCGGTAAGAGAACCCAAACCAGCTTGTTCTAGTTTAAAAATAGCGGCAGAAATCATAAATCCAATTAAAAGTGTTTTAATATGGCCAAACAACCAGTCCAAACGTCCAAGCGCAAAATAGAACGTTTACCATCGGTTGTAACATTTAAAACGTGGCAGCAAATTCAAAAGACAAAATTGCAAGAAAAGTCACAATTAAATGATGAAAAATTAAAAAAGAGACAATTAGCTGCAGATAAAAAGTCAAAAAAAGAGGAAGAAAGATTAAGAAAGAAACAAATGGCTGTGGAGAAAAAGTTATTAAATGAAAAAACTAAAAAGGAAAGAGAAAACATGAAAGTTTTGAAAAAGAAAAAGAAAGTCGCAAAAGAAAAAGTAAGCCTTGTCAAAAAATAAGAGTCAGAAAACGAGTTCCATTGTTAACAATAATTATAATATAAGACTCAGATAATTATGATGAAATTCTATCCTTTCCAGTTTAAAAGATTTGCACTAAAGTAATAGAAATGCTTTAAAAATCTTTAGTTTTAATTCAAAATAATATTTTCATTACTATATAATAAGTGTTTATTAATAGTCTTTTTTTTAAATTTATATACCTAAAAACGTTTAATAAAATGTTACTAATGCATTAAATTTTCATTTGAAACCGCGAGCGCATTATAAACCAGTCACTAAAGCAGATATTAAGATATACGATAAGTGTCAACAATATATACGATAAGTGTGAAACACTTACGATAAGTATGGAAAACTGCGCTTCAAAAGTTTGATCAAAATAAGTACATTATTGATTTAAATTAAGTACATTATTAATTTAAATTTCGGGCTGCAAAAATTCATTTCTAATAAATTTCTACTTTTTGAGTAATCTAACATATTATAATAACTTTTGTTAAACTCACGGTAAGTGTGGAAACGACCCTATATATTTTTGGAACAATTTTGCATATTTTTTTCAATTTATACAAAAACAAATACTT